TTCGTTTTTGATATGCATATAAAGTAAAGCATAACATAAAAGACAAAAAAAAAAAGTAAAGATATGCATTGATAAGAAAGCTAATCCTAGATGATCATGCATTTGAATCTCAATAATGATAAGCTACTATTTATCTTCTAGCATGTATCTCTATCCCTTCTATTTAGGCCAATCTATTCGAGTTTTCACCACATGCAATAGAAATTATGACTAGATAGTGCGTGCTTTCACTCCATGCCACTAGACTAATCAATCAAGGAAGCATGGATAACACATCACTATTTAGGGCCTCTACGAACTATAGTGATGGTCTATAGCATTGATGATCTAAGGTATCAAGCATTGCACATAGTCGAGTATAGATGGATGATCAATCTATTGCATACATGCCTAAGACAATGACATATCACATAATTGGGTTTCCCATGCAGCATAGAATGATATTGCAAGCAACACTATAATAGAACATTATAGATGATGTAGGCATGGCATTATTAGAGCATCGTATAACTAAGACATTAGAATATCATAAGCATCACATGACATAGCCATCCAATAGTATAAGCATCACATGACTAAGACATCTAATGAAACAAGCATAAAGTAACACAGATAACAATGAATAAAAGCATATCATCATATCTTAGAATCAAGATGGTATAAGCATCACTAGATTCACATTCTTAGCAAAGAAGTTGAACTAACAATACATAGAAGAGAAGGATGACGCCACCATTGACGATGAAGGTATATTATTGACGGGGCGAGTTTAAATTGCCATCCCTACTTGGTAGGGTCCTATGTTATGGTTCATGGGAGTATTTTGCCTCATTCTCGCTGATCTCTTAATAGAATCAACATATTTCCTTTGAACAAAGTTCACGACAATGGTTTTGTTTCCAAGATCGAGGACAAGATTGTCGTCTGCTTCGATAGGGAGAGAGGTATAATGCCAACAAATTCGGCGTGCCTCTTTTTCATAATTGAGGACCGACTCCTAAATACTAGATCTTCTTCCCTGACTTGGTTCTTGATATCTCACACCATGAGAATAATGGTTTTGGAGAGTTAAGGGAAGCTTTTTGGGTTTTAAATGGTGTTTCACAAGGATGTTTGTTTCATAACAAGGTACCACAGTGGGAGCCATTTGTTCCATGCGAGATCTTTTTGGTCGACTACAATGGGAAAAAATTATCTTCGAGCAGTAAAATTTGGGTTCGGAATTGTCACAATTGAAGGAATTCTGATGGGTTGGTGTGCGGGTTACCTTTGGTCTACTTCGAGTTGACTAACCTGCAAGGCAACACAAAACCTAGGCTTGGTAGCGTGAATTTGACATGTGATGATCAAGTCAGTGTGGGAAACCAAGAAAGGGATAAGATAATAAGTGTGAAGTGCAAGAGATAAAAATTACACGACATTACAAGTGAAAAATTATAACAGTAAATTACTAGATTGAGGAAAATTAGTTAAAATCATAAAATTTCATGAAAATATTGTATATGAATGATAAATCTAAAATATGTTGAGAAACATGATGGAAATTATTAAAGAAAAATACATATACATGTGTATAATCGGGCGAGTTCGGGTTGGATAGTGAGATAGCTATACCCACCCATCACTTGCAATACTCAGGTTCGGGTTTTATCTATAACCATTAAAAATCCTCTGTGTTTGGGTTTTACCCTACGATTGATTGAATTCGTGTGGGTATCTGATGGACCCCAAAATAAAAAAAGTATAATTTGACAGAAGTATTCCTAGACAGTCCATAATCAGCCACCCTCACATATCACTGTCGACCACCTTGGGGACACTCCAGTCACCCTCAAGGTTAATCACCACGGGTCACCTGAGGTCACTTCGCCACACCGGGGTCAATCACCTCAGGTCACCTAGCCCACCCCGGGGTCAATTACCTCGAGTCACCAAGCCCACCTTGGGGTCACTCCAGCCACCCCAGCGTCGATTACCTCGGGTTACCTAGCCCACCCCAGGGTCACTCCAGTCACCCTTGGGTCACCTCGACCACCCTAGGTCACTCCGGTCACCCCTGCGGTCAACCACCCCGGGTCACCTCGACCACCTTAGGCTCTCCGCCCACCCCAGGTCACCTAGAACCATTAGCCACGTACCCCTGTGATGTGTCCTCTCTCCACACCACTAAGCTCCTGAGGGAGACACATACTCCCTTCATGTCCGCCTGGAGGCCTCTATAAAAGGCCACTTCGTCTCCAGATTGAGGTAAGCAAAAATCTCATGCCTAAACTTGTGAACTCTCGCTATGATTAGCGCATATATTCATTCTCAAGTCCATTCCCTCATCTTTGATTTCGAGGTCATATTCCTCTCCACTCAACCCCCCTCATAACTTGAGCGTCGGAGAGTGTCCCCGCTAAGATTGGTTGATGAATCCTTTTTCCAGGAGACGACTGGAGCTAACATTCATAAGCATCAAGTTGACTGACCTGCAAGGCAACACAAAACCCAGGCTTGGTAGCGTGAATTTGGCATGTGATGATCAAGTCAGTGTGGGAAACCAAGAAAGGGATAAGATAATGAATGTAAAGTGCAAGAGACAGAAATTTCTTACTAAATGAGGGGTGGAGGCCCTATTTTTATAGGAAAGTGGGAGGCCTTAGAGTTTCCCGCGTGTTAGATTGACTGGATCTAAGTCGTAGGATCGATCAAGCACGACAATTACATTCTCGTGTTCCTATATTCATGACAAAAATTGTAGAGGTTGTTATTCCTTGTAATTATGTCGAACAGCCTCACATGAAGGGTGATACGTGAATCCTTCGTTTGCAAGTTGACTATTGTGAATGAGAAATCTATTATCCTCAACTCGAGGTAAGGGTTGCTTGTTGCACACGCTCTTATCCCTCTATACAAGTCGGGCTATACCCTCTTGTCTTATTCCAAGTAAGGTCAACTCAGCGAGTCACGTTCTTAGTCCTTAGGATGGAACGACTAGGTCGTGCGATCCACTAGGCATGTTTAGCCATGAGGTACTCGTTTTGGACCTCCCGGGCCCTATCATCTATCTAGAAACTTATGTCTTGGATTAGTTACAACGAGTGGGCCGTACTTCCTGTCACAACTTAGCTCATAAGTACTATAGGAAGCATATATCCTTAAAAAGTACTCTTAAAATTTATCTCATGAAAGCTTTTGATCTGGTTGATTGGAGTTTTTTTAATAGTTTCTTAGCTATAGGATTTCTTCCTCTTTTCGTGAACTGTTTGTCTATATGCGTGTCTTGCCCCATTTTAAGTGTGGGCTTAAATGGAAGACTTGTAGATTATTTTCCATAAAAAATGATTTCCAAGGCAATGAGACCTTTTGTCTTTTTACCTTTTTCCTAGTAAGTTATGGAAGTTCTTTCTCTTTTACTCGATTCAGGGGCTACCAAAGGCACCTTACATTATCACCATATATGTATAAGAAGATTAATCTAAGCCATCTTTTCTTTGTTGATGATCTTTTGATCTTCACGGTATTCAGCGGTCCAAAGAGTGCTAGACCAGTTTAACTATAGTCGGATTTGGATTCTCATCCAACCAATGTGATATCTTCTAAGAGGGCTTGTCACTTGATCTGCAAAAAAGATTGGTGATGAGGGGTTCCTAAAAGATTGGTGATGAGGGATTTAAATAAGTGAGGTACCTTGGATTTCCTCCAATTGCCTGTAAGCTTTCTATTAAAGCTTATAAACCTTTATTATATAGAATTACAGTCAGAATCAACGGGTGGAAAGTAAATTATTTGAGTTATATAGGATGTTTAGTGTTGATTGATTATGTTATTTCGTCGCTTAAAGGGTCAGACTATTTATGCTCGTGTTTATAAACTCTTATAGAGTTCACTAGTGAGATGGACATAGAGAGGGCGATATATTGTGTATGAAGTTTCTGGAAGAGGGACTCCTTGGTCATTGTCTCTAATCAAGTTTGAAGCATTTGTCCTTGTTGGAAATTAGCTAATGTACCATCACTGGATCTTTGATTGGCATTCTCGGAAGTATCGATGCTTAGTTCGTGGTTCTAGTGTGGCTCGAGGTCATTTTTATTGTTTTACCGTTGGAAAAAATTGTGTGAATTTATTATTTAGTTGACGTAACAACTTTTTCAATGATATAATGCCTATGTTTGGCCCGGCTTTTAGAAGTGTTTTTCGGCTTCAAAAGTTGAAGCAGAGCCAAACATCTGTAAAAGCTCGGCTTTTGAAAAGCCGAAAAACGATTTTGTATAACATAAAAGCAGAAGCTCCGATTTGGAGTTTCTGCGAAAAAGCTGTTTTGAAAATACAAGATTATCCTTACCATATTTTAACTTTATTTCAGAAAATATAATTTTCTTTCATTTATATCATTTTAAAAGTAAAATAAATTATAAAATCATATTATATAATATAAAAGAAGTCTAATAAGATCCATTTTGACTATGTTTTATTGTTTAGAATTATTATTCATAGTTTATATTATAAGTCCTTTATAGTCATTTTACCTAACCTCTCATATTAAAAACACTTTTAATAGTTTTTCAGCCAAACACTCAACTGCTTTTTTTGAAAAATACTTCTCTAATAGCTCAAGCCAGAAGCTGCTTCTGCAAAAGCTACCGCAGAGCCAAACTGAGCTAATATAACAAACCCATTCATAGAAGAAAAATAAATTTTCTTTTTATTCTTCTAACTAGAGAGTTTGATTTCACAGTATCCACAACCATAAGGGAATCTAACCTTATCCTTATACTCCTGAAATAGAGGGTATTTCATTTGACTAGTTAATCGAATCGAACTAACTACAGTGGCAATAGAGATCTTCCTAGCTTTGACCAATTAGTCACCTAAGAAAAGAAACCCAAAACAACGGAATCTAGCCTGGTGCAGTAAAAGATCAGGGACGGTGAAAATTATCCCAACAAAGGAAAGTAAGTAATAATACAAAAGCGTGTGGGCGAATGATGTAACTTTCTTTCGATGAAAATTATGATGAGGAATTGAGGATTGGCTTTCGTTTTGTGGTTGGTTTCTACAACTACATGAGAAAAGGAGAAGATACCAAGAAGAACAAGTACAACCTCTCTTCGGGAGCAGCAGCTTGGCCACTCCACCAACAACAGCTGTTCCTCCGCTGCTCTCTGCTACTGTGCGCCCTCGTTGCCTCCCGTGCGCCTCTCGCTTTCTCTCCTCCTAACCTGCGCACTTGCCCTTCTTCTGCTTCTGACTCACCATCATCCTCCCACCCCGCTTCCCCTAATCCTATCCAACGCCGCTCTTCTCCCTCTTCTTCACCCTTCTTCACCCAGCCGCCGCTCCCCTGTTGCGATCCCATCGTCGCCGGCCCCGTCCGACAGATCCCCAGCTCGGATCGCCGGCTCCGATCCATGTCCAAGGCCCGGGTTTACACCGACGTCAACGTCGTCCGCCCCAAGGAGTACTGGGATTACGAGTCTCTTACTGTTCAGTGGGGGTGAGTTTGTTCAATTTCTGTTATCGGAGGATTCGTCAGTGGTCCTAAACCCTAATATGGATTGCTTGTTCTCCTCTATTTGCCTATTGATTTTTCTTTTGTATATTTGATTTCATTATGGTTCCGGAGATGTCGAACCCTTGTGATAAAAGTTCGTTCTTTGTAGGAGTAATTGATTTTTTGACGGGAGTTCAGTTTTTTTCATTTTTTGTGCTGTGCTATCCAAGGATCCGCTGTGCTTTGTGCTGAACATAGATATATTAGGTTTGCTAGCTGTGTCTGTGAATTAAGAGAGTGAAAGACATCTCATTTGATTGAAATGATCACTTGTAATCAATTGCCCAGTTGATGAATGTAGTGTTGAACTTGATAATATGGGAGAACTGTTTGTTTCTGGATACTTTTGAGTCTGGTAACTCATTTTATTATCTATCGATGAATGGGTTTTAGCTTATCTATTGAAAATTTCTATCTTGGTACCTTTCTTAGTGTAGCTGCATTAGTTTTCACTTTTCTGCAGCATTTTGTTGTCTTTGCCTCGTCTGTGCGGGGTGAGTTTGATCATATTCTGTTTTGAAGGATTCTTCAATAGTCCTAAACCCTAATCTCGATTGCTTGTTCGCCTCTGTTTGCCTGTTGATTTTTGTATTCTAGATTTCAATATTGTTCCAGAGATGTTGAACCCTTGTGATAACTGTTTGTTCTTTTTTATTCTTTGCCTTCTGGAGTTCAGTTTTTGTGTTGTAATATCCAAGGATCCTCTGTGCTTTTAGCTGAACTTAGAGAAATTAGTTTATTAGTTGTGTCTGTGAATTAAGAGAGTGAAAGCCACCTCATTTGATTGATATGATCACTTGGAATCAATTTCCCAATTGATGAATGTAGGGTTGAACTTGATAATATGGGAGAACTTTTTGTTTCTTGATACTTTTGAGTCTTGTAACTCATTCTATTATCTATTGAATGGGTTTTAGCTTATCTATGGAAATTTTCTATCTTGATACCTTTATAGTGCAGCTGCATTAGTTTTTACTTTGTTGCAGCATTTTGTTGCTTTTGCCTCGTCTGATTCATGTTCTTATGTGTCCCTTTTCAGTGATCAAGATGATTATGAAGTTGTCCGCAAAGTTGGAAGGGGAAAGTACAGCGAGGTTTTTGAAGGCATAAATGTCAATACCAATGAGCGATGTGTTATCAAGATCCTAAAACCTGTTAAGAAAAAGAAGGTGATTTTATTGTCTGCCTACTTAATGCTGAATGGTTTTGGTGTTATTCATTTTCAGTATGTGATGTTCTGGTGTGAGTATGGTGATTACCTTTCTATGTGGCATGGTGATGATTCTTGTATGATTGGTTCTTCAGATCAAGAGGGAGATAAAGATACTTCAGAACCTTTGTGGTGGCCCTAATGTGGTCAAGCTTCTGGATATTGTCAGAGATCAGCACTCAAAAACTCCAAGCTTGATATTTGAATATGTGAATAGCACAGACTTCAAAGTTCTATATCCAACTTTGACTGATTATGATATACGCTACTACATGTATGAACTTCTAAAGGTAATCTATGCACAATATTCCCTGTCCTGCAGTATCAAGTTGAGTGGGGATGTACATCTCAGTCTCCTTGAACATCTGACATTTATGCAATGATCTCTGAACCAAGATGTACAAAAAATGCAGGCTTTGGATTACTGCCATTCGCAAGGAATCATGCACAGAGATGTCAAACCTCACAATGTCATGATTGATCATGAATTGCGTAAACTCCGACTGATTGACTGGGGTCTTGCTGAATTTTACCATCCTGGCAAGGAATACAATGTTCGGGTTGCATCCAGGTACATTTTCATTGAGCAGTTTTCAAACCCTCTGCATCTTTGGCTTTCACTCTTTGTGATTCATTCTTAGTTCTGTGAAAACTTAGCTTAACCCCTCTAAGAGCCTTTATTATTGAAGTATGTCACTTGCCATTAGGTGAAGTTATATGGCATAACTGCACCAATGTTTTGTTTTCAAATAGTATAAATGCTTACTATAGCTGTAGTGGATGCAGATTACATATGACACAAGATATTAGTAAAGGATAACTTCCACCTGACCAAGGAGTAACTATTGGATGATGGGCTTTTCTAGTTTTCTGCTGAAACTCTGACTCGCATATAGCTAACTTCAACCTGGCCAAGGTGTAATTATATGATGATTGGCTTTTCTTTATCTTTGTGCTAAAAATGCCTTCTTTTCCACCCGACCAAGGAGTAACTTTTTGATGATGAGCTTTTCTAGTTATCTGTTGAAAATCTGAATCACAGATAGCTAACTTTAATCTAACCGAGGAGTAATTATGTGATGATTTCTTTTCTTCAGCTTTGTGCTAAAAATGAAAAATGTGTTCCGGATAATTAGGCCTGACTTTGAATTCTTTCCTTCCACATTCTTCAATCTTGTCAAAAGTAAAATCTGGTACTAAGCAGATAGCTGTCTGCCTCTCTAACTTCAATGCTAAATAGTTGAGGAAACTTCATTTCTGACACCATTTAGCAATTTTAACTTTGATGTGTTCCAATATCAACAGTTAAGTTTCTTGAGAGAGTTTGTGTGTGTTTTGTTTGACAGGTACTTCAAGGGGCCTGAGCTCTTAGTTGATCTCCAGGACTATGACTATTCTTTGGATATGTGGAGCCTTGGTTGCATGTTTGCTGGAATGGTGAGAAATTACACCTTGTCGAGGCCTTCGTGCTTGCTCATCTATTGTCCTTTATGCTGTTTTCCTAAGGATTTACCTATGTCTACTGACAATGACCTGCAGATATTCAGGAAGGAACCTTTCTTTTATGGTCACGACAACCATGATCAACTTGTGAAAATTGCTAAGGTACTATAGTTGTACAGTTTGTTTGATAAGTTGAAAATTGATTCAGTGATCATTCTGAAGTTTAAGGTTATGTTTAGGTACTCGGAACTGATGAGTTGAATGCATATCTAAACAAATACCATCTAGAGCTTGATCCTCAACTTGATGCACTTGTTGGAAGGTTTGCTCAAATTGTTTCATTTGCTCTTTATGGCAATATCAATGCTAAGGAGCATCCTTCCCTATTTTTCCTTTTAGATAACCTGTTTGTCAATCAAATTGTCAAATGATCTTGTATGTGCTGTTTCAGGCACAGTAGGAAGCCGTGGTCCAAGTTTATTAATGCAGATAATCAGCATCTTGTTTCCCCCGAGGTGTGTTATATTTCCCGTCTGTATTATGCTGAAGTCGTTCTATACTAAGAAGCAAAATGAGTATGCATCATTTATGTTCATGTGTGCAGGCAATTGACTACCTTGACAAGCTCCTTCGATATGATCATCAGGACCGGTTAACTGCGAAAGAAGCAATGGTAAGCCACACGTGCTTGTTTTGCATATTCATTACACTTCTCTAGTTTCTTTTGGAATTATTTTCTAGCAACGGATATTTTTCTTGGTGTTCATTCCTTCATCATGATTAGAACCGAATGTTGGAGTCTCAGCTCATAACCGATGACACTGTTGTCTTGTGGCGTAGGCACATCCATATTTCGCACAGGTGAGGGCTGCAGAAAGCAGCAGAATGAGGACACAGTAGCGGGGGGCTGGTCGTATGAACTCTGCCCAGTGAAGTAGACGCCATTATCATATGGGGACTATAATGGTCGTGATTAGAACTCTTACTTGATTGCTTTCATGTAGTAAAGTGCGGGGGGCATTGTGCCATGCTTATCCATTTATTCGTCCACCCCACATGGTTGCTTCCCGGATGATGCATAAGTTGTACCATTGAAACATAAAATTTCTTTATCTTCTACAACTTTCTTCAATTGTTATGTGAGAAGGAAATTTTCGGGCCCAAGCTCCAGACTTGTTAGTCCCTTGTAAGAGTTCAGACATAAAATTGGCAATTTAAAGTGTGTTATTCTGAGATTGCTTTGTTCATTCCCCTGAGAACTAGACTTGCCATTAAATTTTCCATGGCAAGTCTGGTTTCTTGAGTTGATGTTTGGGCTCCTTAATTATATGATGTTTAAGTCTTGAACTATTTGTTTTTCATAATACCACCTCTAATATGGCATTTCAATGGAAGTTCTTAGTTTGTCGTTGGACTAAACATCCGACACAAGAATCGCCAGAAAAAGGAAAACCTCCTTGTGCCCTCCATCACCTACCACCTATGGTGGCAGCGGCCGTGGAAGTAATGATATCGAGACTCGAGGGTAACCCAACCTATGAGGGTAATCATGATCTGATTTTTAGGTTCAAGCGAATGTTGGGCTGTGGATATGTTTCTAAGAGGTGGTTCAATAATCATCCAACTCGTTAAGAGAGGAAGACACATTTGAGATCCTTCTATTTAGAGGGAGATGTCATTCATTGATGTGAGTGGATGGAGAGATCGAATGTTGAGATCGAGATGCTGATCACGTGGCTTGATATGGCGAGATTGAGGCCAGAATTAGCTACAACCGTGAAGGTAGTTGAGCCTTATTCTCTGCGAGTGGCTTTCATATTTGCAGGTCGTAAGGAAGAGAAGCTAGCGAGTTGGAAGAGAAGTGCATGGCTCTTTTAGAAGGTAGCGGGAGGCCCTGGTAGAGGACCAATGACTGTAGGTGGCGTCGTGCCAGTGGCAATGTAAGCATTAAAGGTATCGAAACTCGATGCAGGAGTCGCAACAATGGTTGTTTCCTATTATTTACTATGTGGGCCATTATTGTGGTTTTGTTATGTTATTGGAATTATAAGTGCATTTTGGTACTTCGTAGGGAATTTTAGGTGTTATTTGAGATTTCAATAATGAGGTTTAATTATGGATAGTTAAAACAAACTAATCGAACTTTATATTATGTAATTGTGAACATTTGTTATGAGGAAACACAAAATCAAAATTCCCTAATCCAAAATCTATTCTCAATCTCTGAACCCTAGACGGGAAAAACTAGATTCATATTTCTTACAATAATCTGTCAACGGATGTTGTGATCTTGAGAAACGGATACCAACCAACTCTGGACTAAATCCACAAAGGAGTTCGGATCATAATTGAGAATGACTTCCCAATTCACCTGCAAACTCTCGAGAATCTGTCCTGTGAACTCGATATTTGCAACGAGAAGTAACCCTAGCAAAACAATGAATCCTGCAGCAGAACCTCTAGATAGCGGCATGAAATTGTACCAGCGACATTCAACTCCGACCGTTTAATTGAAAAATTGACCAGTAGTTCACCTGATCGCTCAGTAAGCCTGGAAAAAAAAATTTAAAGGCTGTCAGACAGAACCTCTAGATAGCGGCATAAAATTGTACCAGCGACATTCAACTCCGACTGTTTAACTGAAGAACTGACCAGTAGTTTTCACCTGATCGCTTAGTAAGCCTGAAGAAAAAAATTAAAGCCTGTCAGACAGACACATGACCATCCATGGCCATATCAGCAGCCAAGAACTATTATCTACAATCTCGATATATCCAAAGATAATCTCAAACGTTAGTCACGCTCTGATCATGTGGCCACAATTCATCCACCAAGTTTGGGATCTTGTTCAAGTAAGGTCGGGTCATGTAAGCTCCCGTTCCAGTACTATATAGCCCGGCGACTTCGCTAAACAAGTGATGTGGTATATGGTGGAAAAGCTGCCTTCCGTGTCTTCGATTCGCTGAAGTCAGTGGACCTCTATGGGCCCAGTTTACTCAAAACATGGGCCTGCTACTTGAACCTTTATCTAGAAACGAGAACTGCAGCGCTTCTTCAGCAGCTATAATTTTCTGCTATTTTTCGTGTTTTTATTTCTGATCTTCTTCACTGCCTTGGCTAACGTGGTGATGATGAGATGCTAACGTAAGAGAACCGGGCTTAAACAAACAAAGATGATATCTTTGCTGCGCCATGCCTTGGAGACGGAGTGATTTTAAGGTGTGTTCCATTGACTAAAGACTAACTGAGATTTATCCTTTGGGGAAATGGCTTTCCTTCCAAGTAACTGAGAGTGTTGGTTGCTTGCCATGAAATTCACAGAGGTACGACCATACGAGCCATGGTGCTTGCCTGCTTGGAGTCCTCGGCTGTCCCAATTACCCTATGAGGAAAGAGTGGCTGTAACAAAGTGCTGGCATCTTGATTTCTGCATTGCAAAGTGAAGGAAATTACTCCTCAAATGCAGCCAGCCGGCCAGAAGTCTTCACCAACTGCTCTGTAAATATCAGTAACATGTTTCTGCAACCATAATCTATCACCGGAAAAAGGACAGTCGCTACAGGCTGATTAGATGGGAATATTGGGCGAGCAGATCAAATGAAGTGTTCTCAGACAATGTTAACTAGGCAGAGGCTAGATGCTAAGAGTGGTTCACTACTACGAGTCAAATGGTCAAAACATTAAACAAATTTTGCCTCTACACACAACTGGATCACAGGGTTCAGAAATCTGCCTCTGTAATGCTATACGAAGTTGATGTGTCTGAGCCACTGCCTGTGCTACAGCCAGCACCGCCTCTATTCTGACTGACAACATTGATTCTTCTCCTTGGTCTCTCGCCATTCTTGGATGCGCTTTTAATTGAATGTTTCCATTCTGCTTGTAAGGAACGCCGTGCTCTTGACACCTTTTGTGCAACTTCGGCAACCGCCAGCCCAGCAATCCGATGCTGACTGAGACAACAGATAGACCTTTTTGGTAACAGAAAGAGGAAACTGAATGGTGACAAGTAAAAGATCAAGAACAATTCAGTTGGATAAGATGTCAAATATAGGAAGATGCCTCACTGAAATCCACCAACATGCATAGAATAACCACCTAACGATGGAATTGCAGCCCTAAGTAGCAGAGGTGTCCAAACTTTACCGTGAGCAGCTGGACGAGGTACTTGGAACCAAATGAACTGCTAAGCAATTTTACCAGATAACTACCTGACACGTCTTGGAAAGCCAGGACATTCATATTGAATCTTCCTGCCAACTGAATCAGCACTGCAAGAAGATTTATTTGCCTTCTGTTTTGTAATAGCAAAATCCTTATGCTTACCACTCTTTAGAGGCTCAAGCAAAGGTGGCTGTCCGTAAACCTTTTCGCGAACATTCTCTGGATGCAATCTTTTGCACCAGTTTTCCTACAAAGTTAATTGCATATTCCAGTGATCAGTGATAAATTTTTTTTGAAGAGTATGAATGCCATGAAGTTGAGTATAGTATCCTATAGCGGGAAACCATAAAAAAAAAGGACCATTAAATCTAAAGAACAAGTAACCTATCAGCCCAGTGCGAACTTTTTTTTTTTTTTTGTTATTAAGCCATGAGAACCTTTAATAGTTACCTTGAAGAGATGATCAATGTCAAACCAGGAGAATTCAGTATTGATTTCTGAAGCTGTATACAAAGGCACAAAGCTATCTGCAGAGGCCAGGGGGAAAAGGAAGAAAGACTTCAATTCAACATTTGGCCGTAACTAGGAATGTTATTGGTTTACATCTTTGGTGCTTATCAATATAACAAGTCAAGATTAGTACCAGAATGTTGGAAAAGTATACAGGATAGAACAAAACATTTGCGGGATACAAGAAACAACTGTGATCCAAAACCCAAACATCCATAGAACTAGTCTTGCAAAACACAGATGATGTGTGAAGCACACTCTTAACAGTGGTATAGAGCAGCAGAAACCTGATAGAAGGCCAAACACTGAAGCACAAACTTCACTATAGAGTCTAGTTTCAAATCTAGCGTAGCATCATAGTCCTTCACCCGTGAGTGAGAATCAGAGTAAACAAGGTAACAAGACCTAAAACTTTTAAAAGGGCAACTGCCATATCCTCTGCGATCACCAGCTATCTTTTAAATCCTATATAACTAGGAAATGGATCATGCCAAAGCCAAACAATAATCCAACACGAAAAGGGACAAGGAGACAAGTCCATATGAACATAGACCAAGACGATTTGCCTCTTCCATTATTTAGACGACCTCTTGCTTAAAATAGTTGTGATCTGGTAAACATCTGCGGCATATAGACATGAAAATAGCAACTAACCACCGCAAGACACAGTGAGCACGCATGTCCAACTTTTTCCAGGAGCCCTTCTTGAGCAGCTCCAGAAAGACCGTTCCTGTATTATATAACGAGAGAACATTTTCCATCCTTCACGAACTATTCGGCCGAGCTTTAGCTTTTGCAATAGATAAGGCCTCCTACATACTAGCAGGTCGTTATAAAACATAGAGATGAAGCTCAAGTGCAAGAGAAGTGATCCCCTTATCGGTGTAACCCTCTGCCTTTCCAGTTTCAACTCTTTGAGGACTCGTGAAGAAAAGAGAACAAGCTCAGAACCAATAACGCATAAGACTTTGAACATGTCAAACTGAAAGTTCGAAGTTTGATTACAACAACGAGACAATGGGAGCAAAAGTTAGGTCCCATGTTACCAAACACACAAAACAGATGAACCCAGACAAATTTTATCTCAGAAACAAACATGGATCAACCATCTCCAGCTCGTGAAATCCACTGTCTCTCTCTTTATCTCAGGGTTTGAGATGAGGGAAGCAAGCATAAACATCCGATTTAGGGTGCTTGGCTTCCGCATGCTCCCTGCACTTCACTTCTGTTGTTGTGCACATGAACGTCTGCATACAAACCTTGCACTGCATACAAAGTTGGAGCATTTTTAGCCATTTGAAGATTCCAAATCAACCCATAAGAGCCCCTTAATGTTACTCAGAAGATAAACGCAAAAGAAAGGATCAGCAGAACAAAATTCAAAAGGGTGATCAAAACGAGCTCCCCAAACAATCGTTAGCACAACCAAGAGCCGAGCTTTCCCGAGCAAAACCAAACACCCACAGCCTATCTGGCAAAGAGATACCAGCTCTTTGAGCAATTTCCACAAATAGAATATGTTCCCCGAGCCTTACAATTGTGTTCGATGCGTGTATAAAATCTTGGGCTTGGAAGCAAGAACTCAACTTTCTAGCAATGCAAAGAACATGATAAAAAGAATAGGAGAGAGGCAAAGCACCTGAATACTCATAGCTTTCTTGTTCGAATCTAACTGGCTTCCTGCGAAAATCAAAACCCAGATGGTATCCCAAATCAACAATATTGATCGATGATTGTGGGCAACAACTTCAAAATTGCTATAGTTATCTGCTTATGTTCTAAAATCGTCGAAAAAAGGGGGAGAAACTGGGGATAGAAAGGAGGAGGAGGAGGTTGTTTTACCTTTGGAGGAGCCAGCTTTCGCCAAGTTCCTCTCGCGAGCCGTCTTCGCCTTCTGGCCGTTGCCTCCTCCCATTTTGGCGAAGGATCAATCCGAGAAGAAGGGAACCTTGAAGCAGGGTCGGGACGAAACCCAGGAGGGGAAAAAGAAAGAAAACCCTAATTCTGAAATTGCAGGTTGGTTGGACAATCTAAAAGGAACCTTGAAGCGGGCACGCGATTTATATGTCTTCGGTTAACCAGGAAATCTTCATTCCGTCTGTATATTTTTGTTACATATTATATTAGCGAAAATATTATTGGTTTTGGGTTATCTCCAAACCATCCATTGGCTACTCAAGTACAGTCAACGCAGAATTTTCCACTTAAAATAATAATAAAAAATAGCAGTAAATAAAGGACATTTTATTAATACCTAAGGGTTGGTTTGGTTTTGGTGATAGTATGTATTGTTGTCAATGCATGCATGATAATATATATGTATATAAGAAAATTGGTGTATTGTAGTTTACATCGTTTGGTTTCTGTGATAGTTATTCAAATATTGAAATAAATTATATTACTTTTTGAATGAAATGTCACTTTTGCCATTTGTTTTTAATATTAAAAAAAGCAATACACATAAAAAGGTAGGGACATAGTTGGAACAAAACAAAACCCAACAATCTCTACCAAACAATGTCAACAATCTCAACCAAAACTAGAGATTTAACTATCACTTATTTTGAGTGATAGTTTGTGTCAAATCAAGCAAACAATGCATGTATTTTTTGTGCAGAAAATTCAAAAAAATGACGCATTGTGGACAATGCATGTATTGTAACTATCCCAATCAAAATATCACTAAAACCAAACGACCCCTGAGAGTTAAGAATGAAAGACATTTTATTTTTACCACAAATGGCTCTTATCGGCTCTTATCTTCTTTGTTCTAACTTGAATTGCAATTTTTTTGCACAAATGGAACGAGTTCGTTGTGCTGTACAAAGTGAGATCAATTTTCAATATCTTTTTAGAAAACAATTTCATACCTTTCATACCAACTCCATACCATATGGTATCTCCTTCATTTTTAAGTCGTGGTTTTTTTAATTATTTGCACATAAAGGAAGAGTTCATCATGACCTTTGGATCTACAAATTTATGGGTGAAAAAATACATGACCAAAGAATACCACCTCATACCCCCCTATTAAGGGAGGTTGTATCTTGTGGTACATAATATTAAAAGCCGTAAATGATAGTTAGTATACTCATACTATCATGTATTCAACCATCCTACTGTTTGGTATGTTCATACCACCATAGTATGCTTTCATACCATATGATATGCTCTTATTTAATACTAATCAATACCACCATGGTATGGAATGGTAAAAAATGTCTCAATTTTTTATTTCAAAAATATATCAAAGTGTATATTATTTTGAAGAGCGCGATTAATCTGATTTAACTGTGCAAATTTTTTTTAATTTCGATTAAAAACGAGAAAGAGAAATCGTCAGTTAAAAATTAAAGGGGAAAATATTAAAAGCTTTCCATAAGAGAGAGGTGCTGATGTGGCGGATTCTGGTTGATTTACTCATTGTTACTCACCACAAGGTTACTGACCTGATCCGTTCCCGAATCCATAGTCTCCCTCTCTGAATCTATGGCTTTCCTCCCTTACTGTTACACCCCCTCTCTCTTTTATCTTTCATAAAACTAGACAAATGACTCTCCCACTAGTAGGAATGACAATAGGGCAGGTTCCCGTGACAGATCAGTTCCAGTCCAGATAATTTATCATTGGGCGGGTGTCGGGGCAGGTTGACCCAATGTTTATGTAATTTATACGCAAAATATAAGAAATATTCGTTATTTTCATTAAAACCCCAAGAAACAACCATAATATGATAAATGTAGTTAACTTATTGAAAGAATTGACATTTTCACTTATTTACAATTTTATTATAGCTAAAATATGAGAAAATAAAGGGAAAATCCTAAATAATTTGACTAAGATTACATGTAATTTTGACAAGAACAGGTCAAGAATGGGGCGAGTCAGGACAAGTCAGGTCGACTTTGCCATCCCTATCACTAGTGAAGTTTTGGTTTAAGCCACTGCAAACAGTTATAAAACATAGGGCAATGTTTATTTTTTATCCAAACCTTTTTTCAGATTCTTTTATATTGTCCAAACCTATTAAAATGCTATTAATCAGCCAAATGTTAACTTCTAGTTAGTAATTTTGTTAGTAATATTGACTTGACAACATGATACTGACTTGGAAGAGACACATGAAGGTCAACATTACAAAATTTTAGTATTTTAACTAAGAAAATAATTACAAAATTATTAACAACAATGTAAAAATGACTAATATTTTGATGCATTTCGAAATATTTGGCTAATTAATAATATTTTAATAAGTTTGGATAATATAAAAGAATTTGAAAAAAATTTAGATAAAAAATAGACATTACTCTAAGTGTGAACATCTCAAAATCAAAAGGTTTATCCATCGTAATAGTCAGCCCTCCAAATAACCAATAACTTTTAAGTTTTACCAAATAGTTCATCATGACATACTTATCTCTATACATTAACTTAGTGAGTTCTCTAATGACAAAGATCTCCATCAGAAAATCAAATAATAAAGTTAGAGTTTAAGTCGTTGTGTATTGCAATTTATAAATTGATAGTTGACATTCAATGGTCTATTACTGTGACAACCCTTATCTGGCAGAGCTTCTAGCTTTCAGGGATGCTATCTCCTTTGTAGCCTCAAGATCCTTGTCCCACGTGATTGTCGAAGGCGATTCCGAAGTGGTTGTCAACCAAGTCCGTCAAGGCATCTCAGAAGATTCGATTGGTGGTCCGGTGTTACGAGAGTGTCTCCAGATCCTTAGCTCTTTGTCTATTTGTATAGAGTTTAGGGCGGTACCTAGGTCCGCCAATAGTGCTGCCCATAGAGTGGCGCGTAAAGCACTGCTTTTATCTCCTGTAGAGTTAGAATCTTTTGATTTTTTGGGGGTAGCCTCAGTAGAGTGTCTTTAAGGGGTCCTGGGTAGAACTGTAAGTTTAACTATTTTATCTCATTGATATCACTCAGAAATAATAAAAATGGTCTATTACTGTGATACTGATTCTATGAGTATAAGAGAATGCAATAGTTTTAGAAGGGCTAAATTATACTTTTGGTCAATCATTACCAATGCAGTTAAAAGCGCGATTTTACCTAGAAGCTGAAAATGGGTAAAATCGTAAACCGTAGAATCAAAGCGTAAAAACGTAAGTTTTTGACGCATACTGTAAAATAACGGAAAATGTCTTATGTACGACATATACTATGTAAAATATGAGTGCACATAGTTTAGATAAGTTAATAAATATCTGTAATTCATGTCTAAAGTTGAGAAACTCATAACATTTTAACAATAAGTTCATAAACATATATCTTAACCATAAGCTACCTTCCCCTCTAAGCTAGTGATTTTGGGAAGGGTCTAGTTGGTGAATTAGATTACTCTGTTGAAACTAAGAATGCACCCAAGTACTTGATATGTATCTTTTAATCTTAAATATATCATATTTTTTGTGATTTACTTGTAAAATATAAGTATTTTCGTGAATAGAATACTCCTTTAGTGAACTAGAAGCGTAAAAGAGTAAATCATTTTGGTGAACCAGAAGCGTAAAAGAGTAAGCTTTTAAACTTTAAAGCGCATTTCAGTCCCGATTTTATACACTTAAGATTTTATATGGAAACGAAAATGTTTTACTGTTCTAGAAGCGTAAAACCGTAAGTTTTTAAGTTTTAAAGCGCGATTTTGACTGCATTGATCATTACATAAATCTTTCATGTTTGCCACCCAAATTAATTTTTTTTAATATTATCCACTAACTTTACGATTCGTGTCACCGACTGTCAGTCTCCGTTAACGTCGTCAAATTTTTTATGACAACCTAATCAGTCTCACCTAACCCAATTGACCAAAACATGTAATTTAACTTCTTTTTTAAGGACTAAAAAGAAAAACAAACTTAAAACCCAACCTCTTCCTATTCGCCGTCTTTCTTCCACCACTGCTAAAACCACCGTCGTCGTGGATGAAAGAACTCGTTGATATGCTCATCCTCATCGCGACCTGATGACGTCGTCGTGCGGCCGTTCTTCCCTCTCCCAATGATTCTCTTTTCGGGCGCGATTCTTCCGCTCCAGATCTTCGAGTTCTGGGTGCGATTCTTCGGCTGTGTGGGTGAAATCGTGAAATACGAGTGCCTCGTTGATGATCGATTCTTCCTCATCTGCAAGGGCCAGGAGTTGATTCCCCTTTGCCAATCTCTTATTCAGATCTCCGCAACGACAACGTCCCAATGCCTACAGAGCTTTTAGGGAAAAAAGTACTCTATATTGAAATCCACCTTTCTCTCAATGCCTACAGACGTGCAGAAGATAAATTCTATAGCAATGAAATTTGTTGGCGTGTGGGATTAATTAAAGTGGAGGGAATAGAAGAAAGGCGATTCTCTTGGTGGGTTTGGATTTTGGAGGTATATTAATAATGGAGAAGCGGAGGCGCGTTTCTACGAGATAGCTTTTCAAGGGAGGGGTTTATTGGAGCTTCACGGGTGTGTTGGTTCATTGATTGACGAGACCACGGCGGATAGTCTCCCATGGTTCGATTCTCCGACCTTCGCCGGGAGTGGCTGAATGAGTCTGTGTTTCATTGAGAAAGGTTTCCGAGGGATGGGCTTTGGCTGGAAGTTCTTCGTCGGGAGCACATTTGAAGGTGTGTCGAGGGAGCAGCAAAAGGTGATGTAGTTGGACGACACGGCGGCGAGGTTGAAGCGAGGGGAGGAGAAGAACAGAGAGAGGAGACATTTTTAGTTTTTTTTTTTAAATTGATATATTATTAAGTTAATGGTCTAGTCAGCACTCCCGTTTGCCACATCATAAAAAATCTGACGGTGTTAACGGAGTCTGATGGAGACTGATGGCTGGTGACTAAAGGTGAAACTAATTGTAAAGTTAGTGGCTAATATGAAAGATAAGTAATTTGGGTGGCAAACGTGAAAGATTTATATAATTTGAGTGACCAAACATGTAATTTAGCCAGAATGATAACCAAAGATCATTGGCTCATAATTGCACTAAGGGTTGAGAATCATAAGTAAGTGATTAATGATTGAGACATCATTGGTTGATCTTTAAATTTAACAATAAATAATATATAGAGATGGTTCTATCGTACACCAGGTAGAAGCTAGTGTATGTCGTACACTATCCACGTTCATCTCAATGGCCAACACCAGCTTTTGCCTGGTTTACGATAGAAGTCACCATATATATATGCACAAGGAATTCTACGCAATGGCGGATATAGAAA